ATTTGTGTGTGTGTGTGTGTGAGCCACACCCAGTGGTGCTCAGAAAGGTGTCAGGGATCAAACCTGGGTCATCCACTTTCAAGGCAAACACCCTGCCTGCTGTGCTATTGCTCTAGCCTCTATCATCATAATTTTCCAAAGGAGACAAAGGCAGGATAGAGAGGTCAAGGTCATCCAGTTAGGAAGCACCAGAGCTGAAATTCAAATCTAGTAAAAGATTCAGAGAGGCCAAGTTATCTGCCCAAGGCCACACATATAGGGAGTGGTACTGGCAGAGATTTGAACTGAGACCAGCTTGACTCCTAAATCTCCTGTGACGATGAGGGTAGATGACACCTTCCTCAGCATAAATGCTGGCATCAGTTCTCTGAAAAACACATCTTCTGGGTCTGCTGATTCAGGCACACTTCCCTCCATGCTCTGAAGACCAGGGATAGGGTATGAGGTATCTTTTGTGTGTCAGCTTATGCACATTTCCAACTGAAGGCTCACCCTCACTGCATGGCCCTTCATATTGATCCCCATTTCTCAGAAAAGTAGATGAGGTCACTGCTCAGGGAACAATTTATGGTGTTAAGACTGAACCAGGATTGGCTACAATGTAAGACTAGGGCCTTAACTCTCTTTTCAGTTCTGCAAACCACTTTTTGCAGTACTCCCACACCTGGTGGAACTCACGTGCAATGTAGGGGTGGCAGACAGCAGAATTGCCAAGGGCAAACAGCAGAGTTGGTGGGACCATGCTTGGCACATATGGGACTCCGGGGATTTGAACTTGTGATCATTTGCTTACAAGGCAGGTTCTTTCTGCCACTGTGCAGTGTTTTGGTCAAAGCTTGTGTTGTGTTGTTTGCTTGTTTTGGGGCCACACCCAGCAGTGTTCAGGGCTTAGTTCTGGCTCTGTGCTCAGGTATGGTCCCTGGCAGGACTCAGGAGACCAAATGGGGTGCTGGGTATTGAATTGAATCCAGTCAGTTACATGCAAAGCAAATACTCTGACCACTGTACTATCTCTCCTGTACTGGAAGCTTCTATTCTTTCAGAGAGCATAAGAAAAGCAGAGGGATTGGAGAGATAGTACAGCAGGTAGGGCACTTGTCTTGCACACTGCTGACCCAGGTTTGATCCCTAGCATTCCATATGATCCTCCGAGCACTGCCAGGAGTTATGCCTGAGCACAGAGCCAGGAGTTAAGCTCTGACCCTCTCCCAGGTGTGACCAAAAAATCAAACCAAAACAAAGTAGAATCCAGATTCCCATTGAACAGTCTCACTTTCAAAGTGAGGTTTCCTTCCCAAATACGTTGTTTATTTCAGTCCTGTGCATCTTTTCTGCTCCCCCCGCCCGGCACTATCCACATTGACCCAGGTGACTGCACACCCTTTCTCTTGGCCTGCCCATCAACTCAGCCCAGATATACCTCTTCAGGAAGCTGCTCTGACCCCTCCCCAATAGTCACGCAGAGATACTCTGTACTTTGCCTTTTTGTTCCTTACCACAGTTTCTAGCTGTGTTTGAATTTATTTGCTCATTGAATGATTTTGTCTACAAACTCTAATAAGCGTCATAAGGGTTCGAGTTTGCTTGGCTCACCATTGTGGCTACACCACCAGCAGTCTGTATTACAGGATAACTACTTTAAATGTACTATTTGAAGTTTTTTTTTTATCGGGTTTGGGGGTAACACTCATCAGTGCTCTGGCTTACTCCTGACTCTGTGCTCAGGTCTCACTTCTGGAGGGCTCGGAGGACCATATGGAGCGCCAGGGATTGAGCCCAGGTCAGCCAAGTACAAGGCAAGTGTCTTACCTGCTATACTATCACTCAGGCTTCCAAAGTAAAATAGTTTTAATTTTAGAAAAAATTTACTTAATGGAGTTGGAGCAATAGCACAGCGGGTAGGGCGTTTGCCTTGCACGTGGCCAACCCGGGTTCGATTCCCAGCATCCCTTATGGTCCCCTGAGCACCGCCAGGGGTAATTCCTGAGTGCAGAGCCAGGAGTAACCTTTGTGCATCGCCGGGCATGACCCAAAAAGCAAAAAAAAAAAATTTACTTAAGAGAAATGTGAGGGGAAAAGAGAGGTATATGGATTTCTCCAGAAGGGATAAAGCTGAGAGCACACATCCTAGGTTGAGGATGCAGGAGAATGCACCTTTAATATATATATATATATATATATATATTTTTTTTTTTTTTTTGGTCACGCCTGGCGATGCACAGGAGTTACTCCTAGTTCATACACTCAGGAATCATTCCTGGCAGTGCTTGGGGGACCATATGGGATGCTGGGAATTAAACCCGGGTTGGTTGCGTGCAAGGCCCTACCCTCGTGCAAGGCCCTCCCCGCTGTGCTATTGCTCCAACCCCAATATATTTTTTTTCAAATCCTCAACTCCATTCTATTACTTGTTTGTTTTTGTTTTGCTTTGTTTTGGGGCGACACTCAGCTGTGTTCAGGGCTCTGCACTCAGGATCACTCCTGGTGGGCTCAGAGGACCATCTGGGGTGCTGGGGATAGAAGCTGGCTCAGATGTGTACAAGGTAAATGTCTTGACTGCTGTATTATCTCTGGCTCTCTATTTTATTTGTGGGGAATTCAGGACAGTGTTACCCCCTGCAGTGTTTGAGCGGGTGTGTGGGGCAGTCATGTACAGGAATTAAAGGTTGGCAATTTTGACAACTTTGTTGTTCAACAAAGTTGAACCCCTAAACTGAATATTTTTTTAGGGGGGTGTCACACCCAGAGATGCTCAGGTGTTACTTTTGGCTCTGCACTCAGGAATCACTACTGGCAGTGCTTGGGGGACCATATGGAATGTCAGGGATCAAACCTGGGTCAGCCACATGCAAGTCAAGTGCTCGGTCCTTATACTGAATACTTTTTTATTGAAAGAATCCATGAAAGAATTCATAGCTACTAGAACTTCACAACTCACTTGTTCCACAATTAAGTCACACAAACTCCTCATAACTGCCCTGTTGTCATTTGAAAAAAAAAAAAAAACAGAGTGCTGAATATGGTGGTGCAGGGGAAAGAGAGATAGTGCAGTGGGTAGGGCGCTTGCCTTGTACATGGTGACCAATGGGTTCTATCCTGGCATGGCATGCGGTCCCCTGAGCACTGCCAGTGATTCTTGAGCACAGAGATAGGAACAAGCCCTGAACACAACAAGGTGTGGCCCCCAACCAAACAAAACGTGCAGAGTACAGTGGATAAGGCACTTTGCCTTGTACATGCTGTCTCGGATTCAATCCCCAGTACCCCACTTGGTCCCGTAAGCCCCTCCAGTACTTGTCCCTAAACATAGAACCAGGGCACTGTGGCCCTAAGTTAAAAAAAAAGGTAGGTGTTTGAGTTCTAGTACAGCAGGTAGGAAGCCTGCCTTGCACGTCCCAAGCCATGATCCTCGGCACCACATGTGTCCCCCAGAGCACTGCCAGGAGTGATTCCTGAGCTCAGAGCTTGGAGTAAGCCCCAGGACTGCTGGGTGTGGCCCAACAAGAAAAAAAAAATGGTGGTGCATGGTGCATGACTCAACCTCGGGTCATTTTCATATCAAAGTGACTGACTCCTGCTCAGCACCTGCTGCCTCCAGCACCTCCAGCCTGAGGCAGGGATGAAGCGGTTATTGGGGGTCGGACCACACATCCCGGCAGGAAGTCACTGACTCAGCAGCCCTGGGCCCTGAGGGCACCACCCCTTTGGTGGTCGTGCCCGTCTACACCCCACGTCCCCTCCCACTCCCTCCTGGCCGCCTTCCTTTCCAGAAACGGAAAAGAACCCGGAATCTCGGCCAAGGCGCTCCTACCGGGAAAAACCGTCCCGCAAAGAAAGGAGCCCTGTTCTGAGAGCAGACACCGGGACGGACGTGCAGGCGCGGCGGGCCCCCCACCCCCAGCCCCCGGACACACAGCCCCGCACCCCGGCGGGGGATCCCCGGGAGCCCGGGTGAGTAGCGACGGGGTGGGGCGTCCGGGCCTGGGAGATGGGGGCTTACCTGCACCCTCACGCCCTCCCCGAGAGACTAGGCCGGGGAGGGCCTTTCCCAGGGCCACGTGGGGCGGGGTGGACTTGCGGGCCGTTAGCCCGAAGTTCGGCCCAGAGCGCCAGGGCTGTCTCAAGTCCCCGGTGACCCGGCGGGGACGTCACGGAGGCGCCGCGTTCTCTTCCGCAACATGCGGCCAGCAAGTGCCGTCCAGAGCCGGCTTGGAAAGCCCCGCCGTGGCTCTGCTCGGCTGCGACTCGGCCACGGCGAGAGCTGCAGCCTTTTAGAATCGAGTCACACTCGTGGGTACCATCAGTCGTGCCCCGGATCCTCAGCCGCCCCTCGGGACACACGGCAGACGGAACTGCTGCTATTTTGCAGAGGGAGAAACTGACACCCGGCTAAACGCAGCGAGCTACCGAGGTTCCAGAGGGATGTGGCGCCCGAACCCGAACTCAGCACACCTGGCCCTGGGACTTTCAGAACTAGCACCGAGTCCCGGGACCCAGACCCGCCCTGGGCGGATCCTTTAGCAGCAGGGCTGGAGCAAATGACTCACTCACTCTCCCCACCCTACTTTCGGGCGGGCCAGAAACCGGGTGGGAAGAGACAAAACTATCCGCAGTTTAGGGGTGTCTGCAGAAAGTTCGTGGGTCTGACTCCTTCCTTCCACCAAAACCACGAGTCCTTTGCATTCCAAGCAGAAGAACTCGCCTTTGAATCTACTTTGTGTGGATTTTTAACTCTTTCTTCGGGGGGAGATTTTTCGAGCTGAATTTAGTAGTTGATTAACTTTGAGCCTCAGCCCCCACTTCAGTTGGTTCGCCTCCCGCTGTTTACTCCGATTGCGGAAGTAGCTCGGGTGGAGCTCCCCGGACGGGACCCTTGAGTACGTCTTTTGCGTACTTACTTAACTGGCAGGGCGCTTAGGCCAATGGGAAGCGCGGAAACCCCGGGAGGGTGGGGCGGACAGCCAATCAGGAGAGCCGGCGGGGTGTGGCCGCGTCCCGGGGCGGGGCCTCGCGTAATGGCGGACGCGGGCCGGTTGAGCGCGGCTGGGGGCGTATCGCGCTGAGCTGGGGTCCGGCAGTGTGGCTGCGCGCGACGCGGCCCGCGGGATCACGCCCCGCGCGGTGAGGGGCGGCCGGCCGGCCCTTCTGTCGCTGCGAGCGACCGCGCGAGACCAGGTGAGCAACAAGTCCTCGCGGGCGGCCCGAGAGGCGACGGGCCGGGCCGCCCCTCCCGAGCCGCGCGAGGTCCCGCGGGAGTGGGGGTCGCGCCTCCCGCCGGCGAGTGGGCAGCGCGCGCTGGCGCTTTCCTCGCCACTTACCTCCCGGTGCCCACCGCGACCTGTCGGGGCCCGCGAGTAGCCGAGACCGCCAAAGTGCCCCAGCCCGACGCGGCTCGCCTCCTGCCACCACCAACTCCCGTGTGACCTTGGGCCAGTCACTTCCCTCCCCAGATCTCAGTTTCCCCATTTGTCAGATGAAGGCTTCTGCAGGCCGCCGTGCACGAGTTGGTTCCCTTGGTTTGGCTTGAGTTCTTCCGCCTCAGTTTCCATCTCTGGGCTATCTCTGGGAGTGCAGGTGTCCTTTGTGCCACTTCCGCCAGTCAGCCCGTGGCAGGACAGCGGCGGGAGGACCGGGTGACACGCGAGTGAGCACGGGATGGTCTGCAGAACTAAGACTAAGAGAGTCGGAGGGAGAGAGCGCTTCCAGGAGGTGGGTTTGAGTTGTCTCTGGGTCTCCAGGATTTCCAGCAGGGAGGTTCTTCATACCAAAGGAGGAGGAAGAGAAGGGTTTATTTGTGGCGCTCCTACTACGTGTCATATATATATATATATATTTTCTTTCTTTCCATGCGGGGATGGGAGGTTGGGGTGGATCAAACCCGGATCTTCCTCTTGCAAGCCAAGTGCCCTACCCACTGTACTCTCTCTCCCGGCCCCCATATTAATTCTTAAGTTTTACAACCACCCGTTGGAATTTACAAATCAGGAAACTCAAGTTTCAGAGTTAAGTCATTTACCCAAGGTCACCCAGTAAGGTGCATTGCTTGCTAACTTATTATTTATTATTATTATTATTTCCTCTGGGAGTGGGTGGGGGGGTGGGGAGGAGATTGGATGGGGAGTTACTGTCCACTTAAAAGTTTGCTTTGCCAAAAATAGGGGGAGGTGCGTGCTCCCAGGTGTTGGGATTTGGAGACAGATTCCATCTCTGGGTGGTTGATGGTAAATCCATCCCTCTTGTTCAGTCAGTGAGTTGGAAAGGATCATTTCAACATTGTAGAATGTGGCTTAGAAATATGAGCGCTCAGTTTGAATTCTGGCTGGGTGGCCTATACAGACTTGAATCTGGATTCTTGGTGCCAGCCTGCATAACTTCCAAGGCCACATTTTCTTGGGACAGGAGGAATTTCCTATTTGTTAGCTCAAATGTCTTTGGATTCCTGGGGTGAAAGGTTCAAAAGTCCACCTCTGATTAAACCTAAGTTCCTTTCTTTGTTCTCCCTCTTATCTGACTTCTCTGATGAGTAAAGGTTATGGACTTGGGATAGGAGGTAATTAGGTATTAAAATTGAAGTCCTTGATTTTTTTCTAAACGTCAGAGCTTTTGGTTAATCAAAATGGCAGGATCCACCGTGGGTATTGTTTTCATATGTCAATGGTAGGGGAGAAAATTGGAAGAGGAAGTTGCAGAGAAAGAGGGCGTTTCTTAGCAGTGGAGCCAATATGTATTTCTTTGTTTGAAGTTCTAAAACGAGAAAGGCAGCAGTTGAAGGAGGAAGGAAGGAAAGAACTGTGAAATTCTCCTTTAAGACTGTCCCTTCCCAAGACTTTGCTTTCATAGAAAAATTTTATTGTAATTTGTTCAGTGTTCAATGTCGAGATAATTTTTTTAAAAATCAGGGGCTAGAGTGATACTACAGTGGGTAGAGTGCTTGCCTTGCATGTTGCTGACCCAGGTTTGATTCCCAGAAACCTAGAGGGTCTCCCAAGCCCCCACAAGGAGTGATCCTTGACGCAGAACTAGGGGTAGGTCCTGAACACCTCCAGGTGCTACCCAAATCAAAATGAATAAAAATGAAAACATATTATTTATTTACTTGTTATTTCTAGGTCATACGCGGTGACACTTAGGGGTTACTCCTGGTTTTGGAATCAGGAATTACTTTTGGTGATGCTCAGGGGACCATATATGATGCTGGGGATCAAACCCCACTTGGCCACGAGCAAGGCAAGCGCCCTACACATTGTACTATGGTTTCAGCTCCCAAATAAAAACATTTTAGGGGCTAGAGAGATGGTACAGCAGGTAAGGCACTTGCCTTACACACATCTGAGTTTTATTCCGGGTGCCCCACATTGTTCCCTGAGCCTTCCAGAACTGATCACGAAGCTCAGAACCAGAAGTAAGCCTGAGCACAGCCAAAAAGACCAAAAACCAAAAAGAAAAAAATTTCGTTTTGTTTTTGGCCCACACCTTGCAGTTCTCAGGGCTTGCTCCTGCTTTTGTGTTCAGCTATCACTCCTGGTGGGGCGTAGTGGATCATTTGGGGTGCTGGGATTGAACCTAAGTTGGCCACTGGTGTAAGTGGCCTACCCACATATCCATCCAGCCCCTGGTAACAATTTTTTTATTCCGGTGCTCTCTTTCTTTTTGTTTCGGAGCCTCATCCAGCTGTGTTCAGAGCTTACTATGTCTCTGTGCTCAGGGATCATTCCTGGTGTGCTTGGGGGACCACATGGGGTGCTGAAACTCAGTCTGATGTGTGCAAGGCAAGCACCTTAACTGTTGCACTATGTTCTTGGCCCTAAGTTGCTTCATTTTTATTTCATAAGCATTGATCTGTTACATAAGACTTATTTCATAAGCAAAAGGATTATAAATTTGTGGTCTGAGTTCCTACTCGAAGTTACTCTGTTGTGAGCGTGACTGTAGTTAAACTCTTTAGGACAGTAACTTTGTCTTACACTTTTTTTTTTTGTCTTTTGGGTCACACCCAGCGATGCACAGGGGTTACTCCTGGCTCTGCACTTAGGAATTACCCCTGGCGGTGCTCAGAGGACCATATGGGATGCTGGGAATTGAACCTGGGTTGGCCGCGTGCAAGGCAAACGCCCTACCCGCTGTGCTATCACTCCAGCCCCATCTTACACTTTTTTGGGGGGATGATGGTGGTCTTTGAGCACCTGATGGTCTTTGGGACTGACTCCTGGCTCTGCGCTGAAGGATCACTACTGGCACTGCTTAGGGTACCATATGTAGTGCCAGGGATTGAACCTGGCAAGACAGAAACCTTACCATCTATACTGTACTATCTCCACAGTCCCTGAAATGCAAATATTTTTATATGGGTGAGAGAGTCAGGGCTGCTGGGCATCAGTGATGCCTGGGGAAGAACGGGAAAGTTGTAATTTGACTGGTGTCCTATAGTGTTTTGTTAACTGAAGAAATCAATGACTATGCAATAAGTCAGAATTGAACTGAAAGAAGGAAAGAAAAAGAACAATGAGGGAAATAGGAGGTGATAGCTATGAAATTGCCTTACACACCTTTAAAAATTATTATTAATTTATTTTTTATTTTTGAGTGTTTTGGGTAATGCATGTCAGTGCTCAGGGGCTTCTCCTGGCTCTGCACTCAGAAATCTCTCCTGGTGGTGCATGGGGAACCACATGGAATGCCAGGGATTGAACCTGGGTCATCCACACACAGGGCCAACGCCCTCCCTTGTTGTACTGTCCACTTCAGCTTCCCCCTTTAATTTTTTTAATTATTTATTTCTTAATTTATTTATTTTGATTTTTTGGGTCACAGCTGGCAGTGCTTACGGGTCTGGTGGTGCTTAGGAGACCATGGGATGTTGAGGATCATACCCCTGTTGACTGTGTGCAAGGCACATGTCCTACCTGTTGTACTGTCACTCCAGCCCCAGGCTCCCCTCTTCCTTTAAAAAAAAAATAATTATATAATTTGTTTTGGGGCCACACTTGTCAGTGCTTCTGGGTCTGTGCTCAGGGGTCATTCCTGGCAGGCTCAGGGACCATATGAGGTGCTGGGAATTGAACCCAGGTCAGCTGCATGCAAGACAAACACCCTGCGTGCTGTATTCTTACTCTCCCCTGCCTGACCCTTGTGGGGTGGGGGACATACTTGGTGGTGCTCAGGGGTACTCCTAGCTCTGCACTTAGAAATTACTTCTGAGGTGCTCTGGGGACCATACGGGATGCTGGATATTGAACCCGGGTCTGCCACTAGCAAACTATCCCCCTCTACTCACTATCCGTTTCTCTGACCCTTGCTGCTTTACCTTTGATGTCCCTAAATGGATACTTTGTAACTGAAAGAACCCTGGTTCTCTTTAGGGATTGTTTCTCTATACTCAGTGTTTGTTGTTTTGTTTTGGATCATAGCCTGTGGTGCTCAGGTCTTTCTCCTGGCTCTGCACTCAGGGATCACTCCTGGCAGGTTTGGGGTAACATGGGGATGCTGGAGAATGAACCTGTGTCAGCTGTGTGCAAGGCAAGCAGCATAGCTGCTGTACTGTCACTCTGGCCCCAACTCAGTGTTGTTTTGTGGTGGGGAACACTTCTTGTACCTCTGGGCACTGTGTGTTATGCTAGGGATCAGCACTAGGATCTGCCATGTGCAGGAAGTGTCTTAACTCCTGTACTGTCTGACCCCTAAGTAGTATATATGAATGGTTTTATGATAGATTGGTCAAGGGAGTGGTCCTTGATGCCTCAGATATTCATAAATTCATGACAAGTTTGTAGCAACATTTGGGGACTTCTCTTTGCTTTGGCCAACCCTCAGTGACATAATATTATAATCATTCATGTCTTAGTCACCATTAAAGTGAAGTTGAATGAGTGTATTTTTTTTCTGTTCCATTTGAGTTATGAATGGTACTCTAGGGAATTCAAATGTATAGTTATGAATGGTATCTCAGAATAGTTACCATTTATGCAAATGAAAAACACTTCTTAACTTAGAAGCCAAACAGAATTGAATTAGAGGAAAGAGAAGAATAGAAGCAAGAATTGTGGAATGTTTTCAAAGGAAATAATGTTCAGATATAGCAGAATCTCAGAAAAATTTCATCTTTATCGTTATTTCTACTTACTAATAAGAACAGTTTGAGATTTATGCGAAAGACTTAAACTTTTTGTGTGATACTA